TCTACCACTGAGAAAGAACTAGAGGATATTTTTAAAAATCCAAATATCACTATGATCTTTATGAGGTACGTTTCTGGAGAGAAAATACTGACAATATACAGAGGAACATTGTACAAAAAACTAAGAAACATACCTGGTGTACAAGAATTTGATTTAAGTCTTAGTTAATTTTAGATAGGCTGCTGACTACAAGTCATAGATAAATCAGGAAAAACCACCCAAGAAACTTTCTTCCAAAAATCTACAATTGGTATACAACGCCTTTGTTTTATCTGATGTCAAACTTAAAGCTGAATTCTTTGGAAGAGAGCAAAATATGAAAAACGTTTCCCTAATTTAAAACTAATTCCAGCTTCAAATCTGTAAGAGTTAATACACATAAAACACACACAGACTTCGTGTCAGTCTCTCCGGAAAACACTAGTTCACGCCACACCTATAATCCTGCTGAACAACTTTTCTTGAATTGATGTGTTGAACGCCTACAAACCTTCCACGTGCCTACTTTACTGGCCTGCTGTTTTTTAAAAAAATGCTGGGGTCATTATTTTATGGGCAGAAGGGAAACAAATCATTCAGCTCCAGTCTGTTTGGAGATTCCCACACTTATTTCCCAAAATCCCGCCGATTTCTATTGGTTCTGCCCTTGATCACACGCTATAGGGCTGAGACTGAAAGCAGTCCCCAAGGAACAATGGTCATGTTCTTCTTGACAGACCGCTCTAGTTATTCTAGGATCACAGTTGGGTTAGAATAAAGTCCTTTGCATTTCCTTAAAAAGCTGGCAGAGTTCACTCACACTGTCAGCGCGAGGATCCTCCAGATTTGGAGGAAAGGGATTTGGATTCAAACAGTGCGCTGTGCACTGAATGACAAGACCGTTGCTTCTTTGGCATTCGGGGAGAGGGTGTGGGAAAGCAGCTGAAATGTCTGAACCAAGGGCATTTAACCCACTTACCAGTCTCGCTCTACGTCCTTAAAGAGCAAGGCTGGGGTTTGCAAAATGCAAGCAACGTGCCAATGGAAATATGCAACCAGTAGGTTGCTGTCCCCACGCGAGCGCGCCTTGCTCCAGCGGATCGATACTCTGCAAACTGCAGCTAGCCTAGTCAAACATTGCCAGCGCCAGTTCGAGTTTACCTCTCTCCCCTGCCTCCTGGGGGCTGAGCCCCGGGCCCGGGGGGGGTCCCCGCCACCAGCCCCTCGCAGCGACGCGCACCGCCAGCTGCGCTCCGCTCTCAGACACAAAGTAGGAGGCAATTAAAATAATTTAAAGCTTCCTGTCTGCGAGATCCTCCGGAGTCCTGAGAGATGAGCAACGGTCTTGCCCCTTCAGGAGAAATTCCCTCCCCTACAAGCCCACCCGGCCCGCACCCCCATGCGGGGAAGGGGTGGGGAGGCGGGACAAGTTGCACTGAACTTTCGGAGGTGTGCAAGCCCCGGGAAACACCCCTCCCCTCCCCCTTCGTGCGGGCTGAGCGCCCTCCCCCCCCTCCCCACCACTCACCCCCTCGCATTGAGGGAGCCAGTTTGGTTTCACTCAGACCCCTCCCCAGAAGCAGCTGCCTCTCCCCCTCCCAAACTTGTCCCTGCTGCATCCCCCGCCCTGCCCCGTTCAGCATCTAATCCCACCCCTCCAGCTGAAGCTGGGACCCAAGAGCTGAGGGGAGAGCAAGCCCCGAGGCGAAACTGTGCTGCTCCCCCTCCCACCCGCAAGCAGCCGAGTTAAAACGGTTCTGTGAGAGCACCTACCCGGTCTCCTTAATCTCCTCTCGGCGTGGGGTGCTAAGTGACACCGGGCTGGGGGGAAGGGGAGAGGGCACGGGAGGTGGGTATTGGGCTGAGCTCTTCCCTTTGCTCTCTGCGTGTCTCTCTCAAGGACGAGGTGAAATCCCTGTGCTGGTCATGAGGCGGCTTCAGAGACAAACACCACAATGCGAGTGCAAATAACAAAAGGAAAAGAGAAAGGGGGGGGGAGCTCGCTGGGCGATCTCCAACCCCCCTGAAAACGGGAGGGGGACGAGAGGAGGGGGGGGTCAGTGGGGAGTCC